CGCTCCCCGTCGCCCAGGCGGGGGGCTGCGGCGGAGCCGGTGAGCCTCGTCGTTCGGCGTGTTGACCTTAACGACAAGCACCCCCGCTGCGCCGGATTCGCCCGACCCACGCAGGGAAGGGAGGAGAGCGCCAGCGGGGAAGCTCAGGCAGCAGCGGGGCAGCTCCGGTGCCGAGCGGGGAGAGCGCTGCTCCCTGCCCCGGCGGGCTGGCGGGGAAGGCAGCGACGTGTCTCACCAGGACAGAAAACGGCTCCGGCCCCAGCCTCTCCAAAATACCACCGCTCCCGGTCCCTTCTGCCCCTCGGAAAGAGCAGAACTAGCAGATCTGCGGGCAGGGCTCCCGGGCCCCGAACCTGCCCCTCCCCGGGATGGCTTTAGCCAACCCTGACCTCTGGTCTGGCTTCCCGAGGCAGAGCTGTTTGTGCGCGTCCCTTTTGTCTCCCCCGAGTTTGTCTACGGTCTATTTGTTACTATTTCTTGGTTGGTTGGTTGGTTTGGGTGGTTTTATTATTTTTATTTTTTTTTTCCTCCTGGATGTGACTTCTGTGTGTAAAGATGCAGGAAAAAAGGAGTTTTTAACTATTGCCTCCTCCTTCCCCTTCTCTCAGGCTTTTTCATTATTTAGAGGACGAGCACTGAAACAAATCACATTGACCGTTTAGAAAGCGATCAAACCTTTATAAAAATCCATCGCCTACGAATCGATTGGTGAATATTTGCTAGGAATTTGTTCAAAAGAAATAAATAAGGAGGGTAAGTGTATTAAATGCAAAAGGGGAACACGGTGGTGTTTTTCTTCATTGATTAATGACCTCTAAAATAAAACAAGCGGGAAGAGGAGCCAAGATCGATAAATTAACTACCCAAATTCATCATTTTCCCTGCGATTTTTTTCTTTGGTTTTTGTTTGTTTGTTTGTTTGGGTGGGTTTTTTTGTTTTGTAAAAAACGCATAGGAAGGATGTCCGTCTCTTTGGAAACTCGAAGGTTTTATTTTAGGCGGGGGGTAGAAAAGGGAGCTAAATCCCTTTTCGGAAGGGATTGAATCGGGGACACCCTATCTGATTTCGTTTGACACACAATTAAAAAGTTTGCCTTTCATATTAATTAATTCTCCCGATGTGGGGAAGACAAATGGTCGGTTACCTCTGACAGGAGTCCGATAAAGGATTCAGCAGCTTTCCTTCTTGCCCTAGGCGTCTCCTCATTCCAGTTTTAAGGTCATGAGCGGCTGAGTTAATAATTCATTAATATAGACATTTATTCAGATGGGATTCACGGGGATTCGCGCTCTCCTACATCTCACCGTTTGGATTTACGTTTCCCTCGAAGAGAAGACGAGGGGGAGGAGAAGGGATGGAGGAAGGCTCTACACAATGCACGGACCTATTTCTACACACGTGGTTAAAACGTGGTTACCCCCAGCCAGAACCCGCCCGGGGCAGCTCAGCCTGCCCGCCAGAGCCCCGCTCGGCCGGCCCCGGCC